CACAGTCACAAGCCCTGGAAATGAAATTGAACAATAGTGTGCACATTGTCACAGAACCCATATGAATGGGGTGCACTGGATAGGTAAGTACATGCCATGACCCACACACAAGCTCACAGCTCCAGCACCCATCCTCGTGCGTCCCAATCACTTTCCAGGGTTGCACAGATCACTCAGGGGCATGCATACTCTCCAAATATCCAGCCTGGTTAGTGTGGTAGGGAATGTATTGTCAGTACTTGATGATGAATCCCAGTCCCATGAAATGCCTTGAGGGCCCCCAGATCCCCAGCAGTCCCCTGTGGGTGGCTGAAGGGCAGGGTGCCAGCAGCCACCGGGGCCCCAGAAAGCACTGCTCTCAACCTCCAGCCAAGGAGTCAAAGTAGTCCTCCCAGCAGCGCCCACTCTGGGAGCACGGCCCTCGGGGACTGCTGGGGCTCCGGGCTGGGTAGCCTCCAGCAGGATGGACGCCAGGGAGAATGTCCGCGTAGACCTCAAGGCGCCTAGGCTCCAGATCCTGCCTTCTGGAAGACCCTAACGTGCTTTTAACTACGGCCTGGCTCAGGTGCGTTTGGAGAGACAGTGGGGACCTGGGTGAAGGTTCTCTCTTTCTCCGACCCAGGCTATGTGGTGTGGGACTTTTGGGACCCGGGAGTTTGGCCAAAATTTTTCTAAGCTGAGAGGCAAGAGATATACGTTGAGTTCTGGCTCTACCTAGTATCTCATTGTGTTCCTTTCCCTCTCTGAGCCTCGGTTTCCCCATTTCAGAGAAAAAGGATAGAAATGATAGTCTGGAGCTCCGTAATTCCCAGCTCTGGGCTGTTGCACGGACCCGCCCTGGTTCCTCTCTCCCGGAATGGGGATTTAGCGCTTGCCTCTGGGGCCAAACAGTAGGACTCAAGCCTTTGCCTGACGACTTCCACAGACCAAGGACCGGGAGTCAGGGACTCTGGGGTGGAGGTTGCGGGGGGAGGGTTCCTACCCGCCAGTCTCACACCCTCCTACCCCGCCTCTTTTCCCGTATCCCGCGGTGCTCACCCAGATAGCGCCTTCAGAAGGTCTGGCGCTCTGAGCATTTTCAAATGCATGTTTCTTCCTCCAGTTATGCTAGTGAGGTCTGGCAAGAACCCTCACCCCATTTTATAGGGTAGGGATCTTGAGCACATTAGCGGTTAAAAAATTGTATTAAAGGAATGCTCAAGAGAGCCTCGCGGAAGAATCCGGCCCACGCAGCCGGGATGAAACTCCGCACGGTCATTCCTCCGGGTGTGAAACAACGCGTCCTCAGTTTCCTCCGCTGTAAATTGCGGAGGAGGGAGCGATAATACCCGCCGCAGAGGGTTGGCTTAAGATTACGCTAAATTATATAGATGAAGCTCTTAGCACAGTAACAGTAAACCTGTATAAATAGTGGCTCTGTTTTGAGGAATATTATTTCCACAGGGGAAGAAATGCACCACACGACTGCGTATCCCTGGAAAGGGCGGGAGTCCAGGCCTCCCTTGCAGAACTCTGTTCTGATGCCACCGCTCCTGTTTCTGACCTCATTGAGTCCCCTTCTTTCCCCACCCACCCTACAGAAACCCATGTCAGGAGGGTGGAGATGGGGGAGACCCAGCATCGCCAGGTATGGGGATTATGTTGCCAGAGACCTGAATTCCAGTTCCCGAGCCAACCCACCTGCATTTCATTTGCTGTAAAGTTTTGGGAGTATAGTTCCTGCCTCCACCAGGACTCAGTTCTCCCATCTGTACAGTGGACCAGTTATACTCAAGCCTCGGCGCTCTGGGGTGACAGTGACCTCGGCCTCGAAGTCCCTCTCCTGCC